GATATGATCAAGCTCAACTGACTTGTAGACGATGCAAACCTCAGCATATCGCATACTATTTACCCACGCGATGTTTCTAGAACAACAAGTGCACAATAAAAAATCAGAAGCAGCACATTATACATGATATAGCATGTACTGGCCGCAATCTTAGTAATGAAGATTTCCAAATCCCTCGGAGACCGTCTTAATCTCAAACTACTCCTACCACCCCACTGGTCACATTTATAAAAAGCCTTTTTCAGCAAGACAATTTGCTCTGTGCTGCTGCTCCCGAACCACGCGGTGCATACCCAGACCACGGCTGATTTAAGGATATGCTAGCACCGATTGTGTAGTCCCAGGTCACATCAGCTAAAGTCTCTGCCACGGCAAGTCCGTTGGAAAGGAATTGTTGGAAGTGGAGTTGTCATAGCAGACACTCCCTTCCGGTCCGAACCCCTAGCTGCCAGATAAGGTAGTTATGGTAGGTGATTTGTGTGATTACACTAAGCTCTAAACGGTTCTTACTTTGGTGGTGCACGATACAGAAAGATCTCACTTTTATATTGGATAAGCCACTGACGAGGCCCTTGGCGGGGGATCGAAACGCGTCAAGCGTGCTTTTACTACAAAATTCTTTCATTACATTTCTTTGATTTCCAACATGAATGAATAGAAGTGTAACGAGGCGCTCGTTGTTTGGGGTGCAATTAAACTTCACGTACACTAGTACGTGTAGAGGAGGCTAACCCTTTTTTAACCACTCGTCCAAGAAAATTTGATAAGAGAACTGAATTTAATGAAGTTAGCTATCTATATATCTTTAGTCTTTATCTAACTTTACTAATCTACTTTGTCGGATGACGACAACCTGCTCACCATTCATTACGCGCGTCCAGCAGCGATTGGTGGTATCCTTGGTTGATCTGTCTCATATCAACCAATGTTTGAGCAGCGCATGAACACTATCCTACAATGGGGATAATGCTCTTTCAATATTACCAATCTCGGGTGATATTGGCATGGAATTGTCACGCTAGAAAATCTCCCTATTGACACAGTTTGGTTTCAATGTCATGTAACGGGCTACCCCGTTACATCGCCCCCCTATGACCATCAATCACCCGTTAATTGAATTTAATTGATCGAGAAAAGGTGATCAACGTTTAGTCATTCTGGTAAAGGGACCACTTGTTGGTCAAATTCCAACTCATTTGCCGATTCATCGCGTGGTGTCAAGGTCCATTTGGTGTGCTGCCGAAGCAGCCAGAATGGCGGTTGCACACATGCGTGCAGCTGAAGAGAGTACTTCTCTTGCTTCAGCAGAAGGTGTTACTTTGCGTGCTGTAGCGATCCAGCAACATATATTGCCTGTTGTGAATAGTCCATGTGGTGATTCACTGCTTGCGACCGATACATCCGCTGCGTCTGCAGCGGGTGCTACGACTCCCAATGCGGGTAAGCCTGAAATAAAGCTCATCTATTCTGGCGATTCGGATGATTCATCCGACTCGAAGGCGGCGCTTACCTCCTATGGATTATCAAGGCGCAAACTGCAAGACCCAGGTTGACTGGCTCTGGAGAACGTGGCGGCATCATGTCCGAGATCTTCGGATTAAGAGATTCTTCTGACAAATCCTCGTCTCACGCGAGTTAATCTGATGATAGAACGCGTGTTGATGACGCACGTGTGCGTCGCCACGAGCAAAGTAACTCGAGGGGTCGAGCTGCCACTGGTGTCAGTGCTCATGCTGTCACCACTCAAGAGGCCAGGGAACTAAATGTCCTGCGCCACGCTCCTCGAGTGGAGTCTCCTTGGATGCCATCATCCAGGTTAGATTGATTGGCGGGAATGACCTTTGAACGGGATCGAATCCCATTATTCGAGTGTAGGAGGATCTGTCCTCCTAATTCCAGCACGGAAAATATCCTTGCTGAGGAAGAGTTCTTCACCGATTTGTTCGTCAGACATCGGTGGTACAATAGCAACCGTGGCCTCGGCGGTAATGCCTTGGTGCAAGGATGGAATACCTTCATCCATAACATCGAGTGCATTGGTCGTGAGGCCTGGATCGGTAAACTTGATACAGCTCGCATCAGGTTTTTAAAGCGTAACCCAGTCGGTGTACGGTACAAGTTGCACCGACTGTCAAGAGAGTCAAGGTTACCTTGTCTCTCGTGGCATAATTCGTGTCCACGTTGCCTGTAAAACTCGAATCGTGCCCCTAGAGAGGCCTACCCCCTAGTGCTTCCTACTGGAGGGCGCGCATCTCTTCTGAGATGGCCGAAGGGATTGACACTTTGCAATCCCTGTACTCGTGTTCAAATAAGTTGTTCTCCTACGGCCCTTCTTCGAACGCATCGGGTGGGCCTCTTAATATTGCTAGACAAGACCCAATCAACTATAACCTGGGTGCGAAACTCCCAGCTGTCCCAGGCCGGTGGATATCCACGCCAGCGGACGAGATAACCCGTCCTGACGCCTTTCACGTCGCGGCGATTCAAAATACGCTCTACCATATAGCTTTGACCACCGCCAGAATCTACCAAAGGATGGGGTGGGGGCGGGAACACTTGATCCGGATCAAGGATCGTATCAGCTTGCTGTTCGGGAACTGATCCTTGGAACGGATAAGTTACACGATGACTCGCCTCATGAAAGGACTCGGCGATATGGGCTCCATGACCTTGTAAAGGATAATTACAATTTCTTAGCACACGATCGTTCAAATATCGTGCCGCGTTTGCGTTTATGCAACTTAAGAACGAACGTTCGGTTTGTTCTCTTCATGAAGAGCTGACTGTAGCTCGTCACGACGTCACATGACTGCGTGAGCAGGTTGCTTTGCTAGTCGACCAGACTGGCTCGTTGAAACAGGACCACTCGAGAATAGTCTCGGGCCTTGAACGCGGAGGTGCTCTTCAACTCTCGAAACGGGCTCGTACTGATAGTACAGGCGGAGACGTCCAACGTGAAACGCAGGATGCGTACGCATCCTACAAGATAGTTCGATCATGCATGCGTTGCCCATGCAGCACAATACACGAAAAGGACCGATATACTTGGGCAGTAATTTACTGCTGCCCACGTTTGTCACTGCATGTTTCGGTACATTTACTGCTGACGACAAATATAAGTCTCCTTCATTAAATGAAAGAACATTTGCTTTCCCAAGTTTTTCTGCGTTTTATCTCCATTCACATATTGCGTCTGCAATAGAGTTTTGAACGAAGCAGACGGATGCTTCGCGAATTAGCAGAATTTCCTCTGCTGATTCATCATTGTTAACAGCAGTGCGCTTCGTGTGAACTGCTGAAATACATTTTCTTCACCAGTAAAGGCGTCACTGTCCTCACTGTGGCAGTCATTGGCGATGTTGAATATACCAGCATCATCATCACCATCGATGTCGATCGCATTGGCATCGGCATCCATCACCTCGACACCATTGTCGACGGGTGGTGAACAAGAAACAGATCGGCTTTCGTTCGAGCGAGTCCACCCCGCCCCTTAAACTAGAGTCACCCTCTAAGAATGCGGTTAAATGTGAATGGCGTAGGCCATTCACGAAGAACGGTGTATGCGTTGTCGACGCATGCACCGAGTTGTTGATGGCGAATTCTGCCATCGGCAAGAACTCACTCCAGCTCGTGAACGAGTGGACGTACCCTTGAAGTATCTCTTCGAGGACGCGGTTGGCGTATTCCGTCTGACCATCTGTTTCGGGATGGTCAGAAGTCGACATCTTCAACCGTGTTCCAAGTGAACGGACACGGATTGCCAGAACTCCGCTGTGAAGCGGGGTCCCTATCAGAAACGAGTTCACGGGGTAACCCGTGCAGTCGAAAGACATTTTTGATGAAGGCTCGAGGAAAGCCCTAAGCTGTGTTCGACTCCTGTACGGCAACAAAGTGAACCATCTTGCTTAACCGATCAACAAACATAAGAATATCAGTGTTCTTGCGAGCGATTTTAAGATACCCGAAGACGAAGTCCATCGATATATACTGCAAGCAATCTGCCGGAATCGGTAAAGGCTGCAAGGGTGCATGGGATGAAGGACTAGGCTTCACCCGTTGACAAACTTCGCAAGCGCGAATGTATACGCGCGCAAACACATGCTGGCGAGGCTAGAAGAAGCCACAACTTACCGCGAGGTAAGTTTTTCCTCTACCGCGATGCCCACTTGTTGGGGCATCGTGACACTGATACATGATGCGTAATCGCAAATCATCATGATTGGGAGCGAAGACACAAGGCGTGTCGCCATTGGCTGCTATATAGTACAGCAGTCCATCACGAACCTGATACCGTTCGGTTGAAGAGCGGTATTGAGACGTCAAGATTTTCAAGCTTGAATGCATGGATTAGACACGTAATCCATCAATCTCAGAAGAAACTCATTTTCTGTGTATGCCTTCTGCACGTCGTCGAGCAGATTCGACGACGGAACACTCACTGATAGTGTTGCAACAGCGGGATCTACTTTTGGATGGAGCAGTCAGCTCCAAATCGGGCCGACGCGTCAGAGCATCAGTGACAACACTCAGTCGTTCTGGTTTATACTCGACGGAGAAGTTATACTCCACGGAGAAAGACAGCCATCTCGCCATTTGTTGCGAGAGGTGTGGACTTTTTACGGCCGTGCGTAACGACGCATGGTCGACATAAACGATGAAGGGCCTATCACCTAATACATATACCCAAAATTTAGCGAGTGCATACAAATGGCAAGGTGTTCTTCTGTCATGCACTGGGAAGTTACGCTCAGCTAATTGTAGCTGGGGCGATTGGTAACATACGACGCGCTCAAAGCCGTCTGAGTCTCACTGCTCTAACGCGCAGCCGATTGCAAAATCGCTGGCATCACAGGCCACGTGGAACGGTCTGTTCTGGTCTGCAATCGCCAACACAGTCGATTGTCTCAAGCTTTTCTTGATGCCTTCAAAAGAGTGCTGACCCTCAGCACTCCATGACCACCTCTTGTTTTTCTTGGACAGACGAGAGGGATGTACGTTCATCTCAAGGAGTTGCTCGAGTTTTTGTGCAAGTACGACGCTAAGCCAAGGAACTTTCGAAGCCCCTTGACGTCGACTTGCACAGGCCAGTCGTCAGTCGCCTTGATCTTTTCCGGATCAGAGCGGACGCCGTTTTTACCCGCGATGCAGCCAGGAAGTGGTACTGTGTTCGCTGCGAATGTACACTTCTTGAGGTTCACGAACAACTTTTGCTCTCGCAAAAATGTAAGAATCTTCCGGACGTGGATTCTATGAACCTCCACGTCCGACTTTTCATCCATAGCCCGGCTGTAGACGAAGACATCGTCAAGGTAACTCGGTGCAAAATCTCGCACCGATCGCAACAGATTCGTAACACATCTGTTTAACGTTGCGGAGGCGTTACTTAGCCCCTGTGGCATCACTAGGCACTATCATAGCATACCTCTGAGGGTGCTCACTGCTATTTACGGGATATCCCGTTCACGCATGAGGATCTGATGGAATCCATCCATGAGATCCATGGACGAAAAGATGGTACATTTTGCCATACCATCTATGATGATGACCTTCCTTGGTATCGGCGTTGGATCCGGTACCGATGCAGCGTTAAATTGTCGAATGCGTGCACTATCCGCCATCCTCCTGTGGCCTTTTGCACACAGAAGGTCGAAGAGATGTGTGGGGATGTTGTTTCCCTCACATGACCAGCCGCTAAACGATCGGCAAAGAATTTGTCGCTCTCTGTGACCTGTTCACGAGGAAGTGGTCACTGCTTCACGACACAGTACTTAGACCGGGTTTCAAATCGATTCCATGCCGAGTGCCTTTGTCCGTGGGCAGCTCGCATGGCACGGATTCAGGAAAAACGTCCCTGGATTCAACCAAATCCTGATACAAAGGATTTGTCTTCAAAGACTCCCAACGTTGAGACGTGTACCGCTCAATCCGGGTCTTTTCATCGAGGACACTCTCATCCATCGATGAGCTACTGAGAACCCGTTCGTTCTCAGTAAACACTTGTGCCAACCAAATATGGACGACGTACTCGTCCTCTGTGACGAGTACGCAGATCTGCTTGATCTTGTCACTACGCAGATCGCGCAAGGATGTTTTAGATTTTAGCGTTGGCATCTTGATTTCCTCCGACGCTGACTTCGGACGCGCGATCAGATCAAGTGCGCCCACACTTCATCCGTCATTCACCAAGACATTCACTGTCTCGGTGATTTCCTGGGAAAACACATCCGCAGGTGGCTGGGGATCCACACTTTGAACATAGCTCTCTCGGGAGTTATCACTCTCAGAAACGCTGGAACTTCCTTACAATACGTGTACTGACTGTGGGTGTACTTCCACAGTCACGTCCTCTTCGATCGACTCTCTGATAGTCGATCTCGCCTCAACGTCTTGTTCATCCTGAACAACACTAGTCTCTCTTCTTGGATTCACCCTTATTAGTGTACATTCTTGCTCCAGTCCACTCGATCTCTTCGAGTGGTGAACCTTCGGCGCAGCCTGTGTCTCTACACAGGTGCCGGAAGCTGGTTCCACAGTGTAGTGGCCTTCTACACTGTGATCTTGTGCAGTCATACTAACGACCGTACTACAAGTGAGGCCATCGCACTCACTCGTAGTTCATCCACACGCTTGTGGCCACTACAAGACGTTCATCAGATGGCCATCCAATGAACAAACGGCAGGCATCTCCACGTATCGATGATGCCAGCTGATCTATGGCCGGTGCTTTCTAAGCCATGGCAGACCGAGGATGACACCAAATTTGTCATCCAAATCTAATACGACGAAGCCGTCATCGTACTGCCTTCCTTCTAGCGTGTAGAGGATTCTTACTACACGTTTGTTCACTGTTACTAATGCGCCTGTAGCAAGGCATACTGTCATTCTCGCCAGAGGGATCTCTCGCTCAACATAGTTGAGCCTTCTATCTTCTAGCGACTGGCGTCGAGTATAACTGTTCAACGCCCTACAATCAACTAGGATGCGAAGTGACATTCCACTTGTCACTTCGATCTTCAAAGTGATGAGAGACTCCTCATCACTAATGGCAGTAGCACACAGAGACTGCGTGTTTGATGCAATCTTCGTCAAGATTCCTGCAAAATCTCTTGACGTTGCTGGATCAGCAGGATGCTCCGCCCCTACTGGCCCTGACCGTTTTTCGGCGGTCCGACTTGCTGTCGCGCCTTGGACCTTTTCTCGACCAACGGCGGTCATCACGTCCTGTCTTTGGACGTGATGCGGTGCTTACGACACTACACTCATGAGCGTAGTGTCCAATCGTCTGACAGCGATGACATCTTGCTGTTCGCTTGTGAGTCAGAGAGCGAGATTTCTCAATCTCGATGTAACAGAGGTCCATTGGTTCGGGACCTCCGGTGTCCTGTCGTCTCGTCGGACGATAGTTTGACGAGTTAGCCTGAGACTGTCTCAGGCTGATGTCTTCTTGTTCCGCGTACGATATCGCCTTTTTCCAGAGTATGGAAGTCCTCTCTCGGAACAAATAAGTCTTCACCGGTCCACCTTCAAGACCGTAGATGAACACGTTGATGAGCGTGTGCTTATCAACAGGGTTTCCCTTAACGCTACTCGCAAGGTAGCGTAAGTGATGTGCATAAGCGCGCACATCACGCTTACCTTGCGTAAGCCTCAAGAGTGCAGAGCGTGCTCTGAACTCGGCTCCCGGCGGCTCAAACGTCTCTTTAAGCCGAAACTTCAAGATCTCTAACGACTCAAACGCGTTTGGGTCGTGACGCTTGAGCCCTAATGACCAAGTCTTTTCTCTTCCTATTAAAGTTGACAGGGAGAAGGTGACTTGCATCTCGTCACCCTCGATATGACGGACCCTGATGGCGTCGTCTAACTCGACGAACCATCTCAAGAGGGAATCTTCATCGGTTCCCTTGTACCTTGAGATATCTATCTTAAAGGTTTCGGGTCAACGCGTGTGCGTCGGCTCGCCCATCGACCGATGAGAGTCTTGCTGCTGTAGCAAGGCTATCTTCTGTCGTTCGACGGCAAGTTCCCCGTGTAGGAACTTGTTGACAGCAGCATGTTGCTGGTCTCTGCTTAGAGACTCCAACATACCACTGATGGCGGGTTCGCTCATGAGCACACTCATGCGGCCGACTATCTCCCATTCTGAGTCACTCATATGGGAGCAGCCTTCACGTGTGACGTGAAAGCTGTCGTCTTCTACGTCCAACATGTTCACGTTGGACGGACACTAAGTAGTCGTTGGATGGACTACCAAGTGCTACCAGGTGTAACGGGGCACCCTTAGCTTGGGTGCCACGAAACTTCACGTACACTAACTAGTATGTGCAGAGGAAGCTAATCTACTCAAACAGCTAGTTTGAGTAAAAGGTAAAAAAGAGAACTGTATTTAATATAGTCAAGCTACCAATATAACTTCAGTCTTTATCTAACTATTTTAATCTACATTGTCGTATGACGACAACCTGCTCACCACTCATTGCGCGCATCTAGCAGCGATTGGTGGTTATCTTGGTTAAATGTCTTTATCAACCAATCTTTGAGCAGCGCATAAATATCATCCTACAAAGGGAACAATACTCTTTCAATATTACCAATCTCGGATAATATTGGTAGAATATTGTCATGCTAAACAATCTCCCTATTGACACCGTTTGGTGTCAAAATGAGTAACGGGCAGCCCCGTTACACAATAGACTTACTGCTGGTTCAAAATGTTTGCCAAAGGCCAAGCTCTTGTTCAGTAGCTCAGCATTCAACTCTTACAATAAGTACCCGTATGAATAATGAATTATTTGTGTTTTATCACGAAGTGGTCTCCATTGCATTTATGTAACAATGCATCAAGCGTGTGGGCACTCATTACCAACATGCGGGTAACACCGCACACCATTTATGTAACGGGGCACCCTGAAGCTTGTACTGGTGACAGTACAAGCTACTTATTCTGATGACAGAATAAGGCGGTGCCTCGTAACTTCACGTACACTCGTACGTGCAGAGGAAGACGGTAAGAAGAAGCGAGTACTCGGTTAGAGTAAAAAGTAGAACTGTATTTATAATAGTTAATGTCTGCAATAAATCACTATTTATCTTCATCTAACTATGTCTAAATACAAATGTGTAAATCAGTTATCTGCTCACCACTCATTGCGTGCGTCTGTCGTGGCGCGTCTTCGTTGGTTGATATAATGGCCTATATCAACCAATTAGGGAACTACTTGGAAGTGCTACAGAATATTGTCCTTATGACAATATTCTGAGAATATAACTCTTATAGTTATATTCTATTAACAATTTCTTATAAATTGTTATGTAACGATTCACCCCGTTACATCACCCCCCCTTAACCATCAGTCACTTTAGTGACTGATTGACTAAATGGATACTCGTCCCAAATCATTTGGGACGGGGTTTGCACTTGTTGGTCCGCGTCCACTTTCCAACATCTCATCGCATGGTAAACAAGCCCATGCGATGCGCGAGCAAGGCCGCCGAGAGCGCGTCTGCACGTCTCTGTGCGGACGCCGAAGCAGAAACTACAGCAACTGATGTCCCATCGGTTGCTGAATCGACTCAGCCTGTATCACCTGGTGATGCAGGCGCTGGTCATGAAGACACTCGTGTCTTCACAGAGTACGAGCTCGGTGTCTCGTACTCTCCTGATACGGATGACGGATCCGTATCGACGGCAATTGAATCCAAGCCGCCTGCCAAGCGTGGCATGGACGATGCTTTGCGTCGCAGCATCTTTGGTTCATCTGATGAGTCAGATGAACCATCGCCGAAGCGAAGGCGCTCGAGGTCGCGAGACTCGGGCGCTAATAGTGGTGTCGTTTCTCCAATGGACACCACTTCACAGCGAGGTGCCAGTACTTCTGTCGGCACGTCGCAGGAAGAGCGGGACCGCAATGTGTTGCGTCTCGCTCCAGAAAAGAAGGCATGGATGCCTCTAAATCTGTCATGGATCACTTGTCGGCGACGACGAGTGATCTTTATCGAACACGATTGCTCGATTCGTCGAGGATTCATCACCTTGACCCCAGCGCGAAAGACTATCGCGCTGAACATGAGTTCTTCATCGATGCTTTCTTCAAACATCGATGGTACAGTGGGAATCACAAACGTGATGGTCCCTCACTACTTCAGGCGTGGAACGCCTACATCCATAATCTCGAGGATGTAGGTCGTGACGCTTGGAACGACAAACTTATCAAAGCTCGTGATAAGTTTGAAAAGCGAACCCCGACAGGTGCACGCTACAAGCTGCATCGTCTGTCAAGGGAGAAAGGATTTCCCTGCCTCTCTTGGGGAGACTCGTGCCCATGTTGTGTGAACAACTCTGCACGAGCACCTAAGGAGGCTTACCTCCTTACCAGCCCGTGGTGGCGCGTACGTGTCTCTACTGAGATGTACGAAGGGATTGACAACCTGAAATCCCTTTACGACCGTGCCGGGAAGACTTTCTCCGGCGGTCCTTCTGCGGCACAGGATGTGTCGCGTCGTACTGCTCGACCAGACCCAGTACGTCAACCATCAATTGGGAGCGGGGCTCCCAAGAATCCCAGGACGGGGGATAGCCGCGCCACCGGACGAGGTAACTCGTCCGACGTCCGTTCACGTCGCGGTGGTTCAACAGCTGCTCTACTAGATAGCGCTGGCCACCGCGAGAGTCCTCTAATGGAGGTGGAGGAGGAGGAAAGACGCTCTCCACACGATCATGTGGATCGGTGTGTTCCCGAGAGCTTCTTTGATCGCGTAACGCAAGGGTTACGCGACGATCTCGAGCATGAGCGGAATAGGCGTCTCCAGATGGTGGACACTGCCTCGAAGCATCGAGCTGAGTTTGCCTTTGCTCAGCTTGAGAACGAGAGATCTCTGACATCTCTTCGTGACGAGCTAAGGGTAGCTCGTGGGATTGTTGATCGGTCTCGGGCTGAGATAACTGCTCTTCAGACCCTTGTTGATGCCCACCATCGGGAGCACAAGGCTCTCTGCGAGATGCTTGAGCGCAAGGGCGTTCTTCATCGGAAGAAGCAGCGTACTGATGGTACGGCTTAAGCCGACCAACGTAAAACGTGGGATGCGTTCGCATCTTACGTGGTAACTCGATCGTGTATGCATTGCCTAGGCGGTGCAATACACGAAATGGGCCAATGTACTTGGGTAGTAGTTTACTGCTACCCAAGTTAGTCACTACATGTTTTGGTAGATTAACCGTAGACAGTAGGACTAAGTCACCTTTATTAAATAAAAGAGTGTTTGCCCTTCCATTCTTGTCAGCGTTTTGCTTTTGCTTATCCACCGCTTCGGCGATGGAGTCTTGCACAAAACGGACTACCGTTTCACGAGCCAGTATGAACTCATCTGATGACTCGTTAGCTTCAGTGTGCTGTGAGCGCACTGCAGCGACAACAACCTTTTCTTCAGTGAGGGCTTCCGCACTCTCACTGGGATCATTGTCTTCAGTGAGGGCTTCCGCACTCTCATTGGCATCATCTTCTTCGATATCGATGTTATCGATATCGGCATCAAACGCAATGACTTCTTCGTCAGAGCGTGATGAGCGTGAACCAAATCGGTTTTTGCTCGCGCGAGTCCCTCCCCCTTAAACCAGAGTTACACTCTAGTAAGGTGGGTACACGCGGATGGCGCAAGCCATTCACGTAAAACGGTGTATGTGTCGTGGACGCATGCACCGAGTTGTTGATGGCAAACTCTACCATCGGCAAAAACTCACTCCAACTCTTAAAGGAGTGTACGTATCCTCGAAGTATCTCTTCAAGGACACGATTGGCACGTTCCGTCTGACCATCTGACTCTGGATGATCAGATGTTGACATCTTCAAGCGCGTTCCGAGTGATTTGAACACGGAACGCCAGAAATCAGCAGTGAATCGTGGATCTCTGTCTGATACGAGTTCACGGGGCAACCCATGAAGTCGGAAGATGGTGTCAATAAAGACACAAGCACAGCCACTTGCCGTGATTGTCTCTGGTACAGCCACAAGGTGTACCATTTTGCTGAATCTGTCAACAAATACGAGAATACCCGTATTCCCGCGTGCGTCTTTGGGTAACCCGAAGACGAAATCCATTGAGATGGATTCCCAGCACTCAGCCGGAACCGGTAGAGGCTGTAAAGGTGCACGCAGTGAAGGACTTGACTTAACTCGTTGGCAGACTTCGCATGCGCGAACATACTTTCGCACAAACTGATACTGGCGGGGCCAGTAAAAGTCTCGACTTACCGTGAGATATGTTTTCTCTCGGCCACGATGTCCTCCCTATAGGAGCATCGTGATACTCGAACATGATCCGCAAACGCAGATCAATATCATCTGGAATGACAACACGTGGTGTGTCACCAGAAACGGCTGTATAGTACAGTAAACCGTTACGAGTAGTGTATCGATCTGATGCAGATCGATACGCAGACGACAATCGTTTCAACGATTCTCGAGATGGTTGGGAGAGATGTGACAACAACTTCACTATCTCACCATCTTGGGCGTATGCCCGCCTCACATCATCATACAACGTTGTAGATGGAACTGAGGACGTCATAACCGCAACAGTGACTGTCTCACTGTTGGGTTTCGCGACTGTTTCAAAGTCGGGACGACGTGAGAGTGCATCAGCGACGACATTAAGTCGTCCTGGTTTGTACTCGACCGTAAAGTTGTATTCTGCAAAGAATGACAACCACCGCGCCATTCGTTGTGAAAGGTGCGGGCTGTTCACTGCCGTGCGTAAGGACGCATGGTCAGTGTAAACAACGAAGAGTCTATCTCCTAATAGATAGACTCTGAACTTCGCGAGTGCATACTTCATGGCAAGGAGTTCCTTGTCATGCACTGGATAGTTCCGCTCAGCTGGTTGCAGCTGACGCGACTGATAGCAGACGACGCGTTCAACGCCTTCAAGGTCGTACTGCATTAATGCACAGCCGATTGCGAAATCGCTGGCATCACAGACCACATGAAATGGCCTGTCCTGATCGGCTATTGCTAGGACTGGGGATTGTATCAAGCTCTGCTTGATACCCTCAAAGGAGCGTTGACATTCAGCGTTCCATAACCACCTCTCGTTCTTTTTCAACAAACGAGAGAGGTGTACAGTCATCTCGGCGTAATTGCGTGAATACTTATGCAAATACGCCGCTAGCCCAAGGAATTTTCGAAGACCTTTGACATCGACCGGCACGGGCCAGTCGGTGATCGCCTTGATCTTTTCGGGATCAGGACGTACACCGTTCTTACCAACGATGCACCCAAGAAGTGGTATTTCGCTTGCTGCAAATATACACTTCTTGAGGTTTGCATACAATTGATGCTTTCGCATGATTGTAAGAACTTGTCGGACGTGGTACTTGTGAACCTCAACGTCCGACTTTCCATCCATAGCTCGACTATGGATGAATACGTCATCGAAATAACTCGGCGCGAATTCTCGTACTGGCCTCAACAGATGTGATACACACCTGTTGAACGTGGCAGGGGCATTACTGAGCCCTTGTGGCATTACTAGCCATTCCCAGAGCATGCCGCTAGGCGTGCTAACTGCGGTATAGGGTATATCCCGTTCCCGCATTAGGATTTGATAGAAGCCATCCATCAAATCCATGGACGAAAAGATGGTACTCTTTGACATACCATCAATGATTACGTCCTTCCTCGGTATCGGCGTCTGAGCCGGTACCGTTGCAGCGTTCAATTTGTTAAACGCGTGCACTATCCGCCACCCTCCTGTTGCTTTTCGCACACAGAAGGTCGGAGAGCTATGTGGGGGAAGTTGATTCCCTCACATGGCCCGCTGCTAAACGATCGGCAAAGAACTTGTCGATCGCAAGTACTTGTTCACGAGGCAGTGGCCACTGCTTCATGACACAGTACTTCGAGCCTGGTTTAAGCTCGACTTCGTGTCGAATACCTTTATCCTTCGGTAATTCGCACGGAACAGTTTCAGGGAATACATCCTTGAATTCAACCAAATCTTCATAGAGAGGATTTTCCTTGAGCGATTCCCATGATTGGGACTCATATCGCTCAATTCGTGTCTTTTCATCTAGGGCACTCTCGTCCATAGATGAACTACTGAGAACTCTCTCGTTCTCAGTAAACACTGTTGCTGACCTTATGTCGGTTACATACTCGTCTTCAGCGACGAGTATGCAGATCTGCTTGACTTTGCCACTACGCAGATCACGCAAGAATCTTTAATGTTCGAGCGTTGGCAACTGAGTGATCTCCGAAGTTAACTTCGGAGGCGCAATCAGATCAAGTGTATAAGCGCCTACACATGATCCGTTATTGACTATGACATTCAATGTCTCTGTCATTTCCTGGGGACTTATTCCCTCAGGCTTCGAAGGACTTATTCCTTCGTCTTCCCGGGGACTTATTCCCGCGGGTTTCGGGGAACTTATTTCCGCCGTATTTGTAATCTTGGGACTTATTCCCTTTACTTCCTCTAGCTGGGGTTGCGCAACCACAGCGAGATCCTCTACGAAAGACTCTCCAGTCGATCTAGGATTATCGTTTCGCTTAACCTGAGCGATCGATTGTTTCTCTTCTAGATGTTCCCCTCTAGGGATACATCTTTGTCCCAGTCCACCCGACTTATTCGAGTGGTGGACCTTCGGCGCAGCCTGTGTTTCCTCACAGCCGCCGGAACTTTGCTCCGAAGTGTAACCGTTTGGTACACTAAGGTTTTGTGCAGTCGTACTAACGACCGTACCACAAGTGAGGCCATCGCACTCACTCGTAGTACATCCACACGCTTGTGGACGCTCCAAAATGTTCATCAGATGGCCATCTGATGAACAAGCGGCAGGCATCGTTACTGTCCGATGTTGCCAGTTTACCCGTGGTTCGTACCTTCTGAGCCACGGTATTCCAAGGATGACATCAAATTTGTCATCCAAATCCAATACGATAACGTCATCGTCGTATTGGGTATCTTCTAGCGTATAGTGAATCTTCACTATACGCTTCATGACGGTTACGGATGCGCCTGTCGCAAGACGTACCGTCATCCTCGTAGGAGGTGTGTCACATTCACTGAATTTAAAGTGACCATCTTCTAGCGATTGGCGTCGCACAAAATTGTTGGACGCCCCACAATCGACTAGAGCTCGAAGGGACAACTTATTCGTCACTTCGAGTTTCAAGGTAATGAGTGAGATCTCATTACCTAGAGCAGCAACGCACAATGTCTGTGTGTTGGGAGCAACCTTCATCAAGAGGCCTACAAATTCTCTTGACGTTGCTGGATCAGTAGGGTGCTCCGCACCTACTGATCCTGTCCGTTTTTTGACGGTCCATCCCGTTGTTGCGTCTTTGCACCAACTGCGGACCCTCGTCCCTGCCCCTTTCTCATGGGTGGACGGTCACTACGCCCAGTGTCGCGAGACACTGGACGAGGGGCACTACACTCGTAAGCGTAGTGTCCTGTCTTTTGACATCTGTTGCATCTCTGCAACTTCTTGTAGCCTGTAGAGCGAGCCTTCTCGCTCTCTACATAACAGAGTTCCATCGGCTCTGGACCTCCGTTGTCATATCGTCTCGGTTGACGATATGATGTCGAGCTGGCGTGAGCCTGTCTCAGACTGAAGTCTTCCTGCTCCGCAATGGAAATGGCTTGTTCTAGTGAATCTAGTTCAAGCCGGAACAGGTGAGTCTTGACGGGACCATCCGCAAGACCCTGCATGAACACCGAAACCAACGTGTGTTCATCCACCGGATTGGAACTTATACAACTCGTGAGATGTCGTATATGTTGAGCGTAAGCGTGCACATCACGCTTACCCTGCTTGAGCTTCAAGAGTTCGGTTCGAGCTCTGAACTCAGCTCTAGGCGGTTCAAACGTTTGTCTGAGCCGCGACTTGAAGACTTCCAACGACCCAAACGCGTATGGGTCGTGCAGCTTGAGCCCCAGTGCCCAAGTCTTGGCACGTCCTGCCAGATTTGACTGGGCAAATGCAACTTGCATATCCCCGTCGTCGATGCGACGCGCCCTTATGGCGTCATCCAATTCGACGAACCATCTCAAGAGGGAGTCTTCTTCGACCCCCTATACTTTGAGATGTCAATCTTCAAAGTCTCGGGCCGACGCGAGTGCATCGACCCGCCAGCAGCAGCCTGCTGCTGTCTCAACAGTTCAAACTGTTGAGCACCTTGTTCTCTCAACAACTCTGCTTGTTGAGAACCTTGTTGGTGAAGCAAGGCTACTTTCTCGCGTTCTGCGTCAAGTTCATTTTGAATGAACTTGGCGATAGTAGCATGTTGGGCATCTCTATTGAGAGCCTCTAGCATGACGCTAACAGCATGGATGCCCATGGTCGAACCCATTCGTTCAACCGCATCCCATTCGACATCGCTCAAATGGGAGTAGCCGTCACGCATAGCGTGAAAGCTTTGGTCATCTTCATCATCCAACATATTCATGTTGGATGTGAACGCGGTCCTTGGACGGACTACGAAGTGCTACCAGGTGTAACGGGGCACCCTGAAGCTTGTACTGGTGACAGTACAAGCTACTTATTCTGATGACAGAATAAGGCGGTGCCTCGTAACTTCACGTACACTCGTACGTGCAGAGGAAGACGGTAAGAAGAAGCGAGTACTCGGTTAGAGTAAAAAGTAGAACTGTATTTATAATAGCTAATGTCTGCAATAAATCACTATTTATCTTCATCTAACTATGTCTAAATACAAATGTGTAAATCAGTTATCTGCTCACCACTCATTGCGTGCGTCTGTCGTGGCGCGTCTTCGTTGGTTGATATAATGGCCTATATCAACCAATTAGGAACTACTCGTAAGTGCTACAGAATATTGTCCTTATGACAATATTCTGAGAATATAACTCTTATAGTTATATTCTATTAACAATTTCTTATAAATTGTTATGTAACGATTCACCCCGTTACAATTTAGCAATAAAATGGTTCTCGTAGTGAGCTGCTCGAACACCTACGCGGAATATCGGTGTTAGTTATCTCGGCAGGTGAATGGAAAACAGTATACCGGTATCTTTCCTGTGTCGCACACCTCCCAGTAGAAATACCACCCTCATCGACTATATTCCGCTCTTTCAAGAGCGATAGCTCACACCTGGTCTGATTCTGTTTTCCCTTTCGCCTGTTACTTCACAGTACAAACGCGCAACCCGCAGCGCTCCCGAGTTCTCGTCGCCATGGGCAACGCACTCGGCACGAAGAAGACGCTGAGGGAGCAGCTGCGCGAGAACAAGCGCGAGATCAACCGCGCCGTACGGCAGCTCGACCGAGAGCGCACGAACCTGCAGCTGCAGGAGAAGAAGCTCATTCTCGAGATCAAGAAGATGGCGAAAGAAGGGCAAATCGCCAGCGTCAAGATCATGGCCAAGGACCTGGTACGGACGCGTCAGCACGTGACCAAGTTCTACACGATGCGGTCCCAGCTGCAGGCGGTTTCGCTGCGACTGGACACGGCGCAGTCAGCTGAAGCCATGACGTCAGCGCTGCAGGGCACGACGACCGCGATGAAGGCGATGGCGTCGACCATGAACTTGCCGAGACTGAACCGGATTATGATGGAGTACACGAAGGAGAGTGAGAAGATGGAGATGACGCACGAGACCGTTGGGGATACAATCGACGACGTCATGGACGCCGAGCAAGACGAAGAAGAAGAGGAGAAGATTGTCGGACAGGTGCTGGACGAAATCGGCATCGACATGACGGGTGCCGTGCCGGAAGCTCCGACAGCGCACATGGCACCGGTTGCTGCTGTTGTGGAAAAAGCTGCGGCAACAGCAGTACAGCTGCCTGCTGCCCCCGTGGCTGCAGGGGACGGCGAGTCGACAGACTCGGCACTGAGCGATCTTGAAAAGCGGCTCAACAACTTGCGACGGTCGTGATGACGGCGTGGTTGAGGTATTTTACGTGCGAGATGCACGTCTCGTCGGCTGAGCGAAAGCTCTGATGCTTGTCGGTCTCGTGTTGACTGGACGTGGTGAGAGGGGGTTGTGCCATCGACTGATAACAGTGACAATAGATAGTCATGGCAGCAGGCGACGATGACCTTTGTGCATCGTACAAGAAGAAGAAGGAAAAGAAGAAGAAGAAAGCAAGCGATAAGCAACACGTTGTCATGGTCTCTCACCACGCTCCTGTCTTCTTTTCAACTGACTCAACTCACAATCTCCTCCTCTCTGTCAGCCAATGTCAGGAATGATCAGCAAACTCTTTGGAATGAGGCAAAAGTGCAGCGCAAAGTAAACAAACCGATGGCACAAGTTCGTCAGGTCCTCAAAGTCGCTAAAGACTTCAGGATGGTGAAAGTACGTGTGCGAAAAGATGCGGTAGAGTCTTCGTGAGACCGACTGGAAGTACTGCGTGGCATTCGAGCTGATGTTCGTCCGCGACGGGAACACGCGACTGCTCGTGAGCAACGTATTGACATTATCCATCGTGTGCACAATGTACTCAAACGCACAGCACTCTTTCGGCGCTTTGTGGGCTGCACATAGAAATACCCACTCGTCCGTGGCTTTCATGACCGGACACGACTCGCGCGTGCAATGGCCATCGAGACGCGCGACCAGCACGTTCAGCTCCTTCATGATCTGGCGCAAGTGCTCGTACTGCCATAAGTACGTATCCTGGGCCTCGGGCACATCGTAGATCAGCGAGAGCGCCGTGGGGTCGAAGCGAATCTGGCGCTGGATCAGCTGCTCCACGTCAAAGGCACCGCCCACGTCGGCGCTGCGGTCCCCGGTCGTCTCTTCCCAGCTAAAGAACTCGTCGTTGCGACTGCCGGGCAGGTTCTTGCCCACAACGAGCGTCGTCATGTTTAGTGTTGGAGGTGGCGGCGGTTGGACGAATGTGGTCAGAGTGTGGCGAGTCACCCACGGATGTTAGTTACTTCGTTTTGTTACTTTTTCGTATTTCACGAGGGTTTTTTTTTATGTCGCATCTTTGTGGTCGCGTACTTCATATTACCACCTCACACACGACCACTTTATACTACCACTTCATCTCCCTTTGGCGACAAAAGACGCTCCCGTAGCTTCCGGTTTCGTTGCCAGTACTGGACTCGGTCGATGGAGCGGCGGCGACGCGCAGCAGACGATTCAACGGGACGGCGCCGACGCAGTCGGAGCTCCAGTCCCGTGTCTTCTCGTCCTACAGTACCACCTCTTGTTTTTCTTGGACAGACGAGAGGGATGTACGTTCATCTCAAGGAGTTGCTCGAGTTTTTGTGCAAGTACGACGCTAAGCCATGAACTTTCGAAGCCCCTTGACGTCGACTTGCACAGCCAGTCGTCAGTCGCCTTGATCTTTTTCCGGATCAGAGCGGACGCTGCTTTTGAATTCGCGATGCAGCCAGGAAGTGGTACTGTGTTCGCTGCGAATGTACACTTCTTGAGGTTCACGAACAACTTTGCTCGCAAAAATGTAAGACCTTCCGGACGTGGATTCTATGAACCTCCACGTCCGACTTTTCATCCATAGCTTTCCGGCTGTAGACGAAGACATCGTCAAGGTAACTCGGTGCAACCCGCACCGATCGCAACAGATTCGGTAACACATCTGTTTAACGTTGCGGAGGCGTTACTTAGCCCCTGTGGCATCACTAGGGCACTATCATAGCATACCTCTGAGGGTGCTCACTCTGCTATTTACGGGATATCCCCGTTCACGCATGAGGATCTGATGGAATCCATCCATGAGATCCATGGACGAAAAGATGGTACATTTTGCCATACCATCTATGATGATGACCTTCCTGGTATCGGCGTTGGATCCGAATGATGCAGCGTTAAATTGTCGAATGCGTAATTATCCGCCATCCTCCTCCTGTGGCCTTGCACACAGAAGGTCGAAGAGATGTGTGGGGATGTTGTTTCCCCTACATGACCAGGCCGCTAAAACGATCGGCAAGAATTTGTCGCCTCTGTGACCTGTTCACGAGGAAGTGGTCACTGCTTCACGACACAGTACTTAGACCGGGTTTCAAATCGATTCCATGCCGAGTGCCTTTGTCCGGGTGGGCAGCTCTGCATGGCACGGATTCAGAAAACGTCCTGATTCAACCAAATCCTGATACAGCGATTTGTCTTCAAAGACCCCAACGCTGGAGACGTGTACCGCTTCAATCCGGGTCTTTTCATCGAGGACACTCTCATCCACTTGATAGCTACTGAGAACCCGTTCGTTCTCAGTAAACACTTGTGCCAACCAAATAGCGATTAATGCAATGTCCTCTGTGACGAGTACGCAGATCTGCTTGATCTTGTCACTACGCAGATCGCGCAAGGATGTTTTAGATTCTAGCGTTGGCATCTTGATTTCTCCGACGCTGACTTCGACGCGCGATCAGATCAAGTGCGCCCACACTTCATCTCGTCATTCACCAAGACATTCACTGGGTCTCGGTGATTTCCTGAAAACACATCCGCAGGTGGCTGGGGATCCATTAATTTTTGAACATAACTCCCTCGGGAGTTATCACTCTCAGAAACGCTGGAACTTCCACACGCTGTGTACTGACTGTGGGTGTACTTCCACAGTCACGTCCTCTTCGATCGACTCTTCTCGATAGTCGATTCGCTCTTCAACGTCTTGTTCATCCTGAACAACACTAGTCTCTCTTCTTGATTCACCCTTATTAGTACATTCTTGCCCAGTCCACTCGATCTCTTCGGAGTGGTGAACCCGGCGCAGCCTGTGTCTCTACACAGGTGCCGGAAGCTGGTTCCACAGTGTAGTGGCTCTTTACACTGTGATCTTGTGCAGTCATGGCGCTTAACGACCGTACTACAAGTGAGGCCATCGCACTCACTCGTAGTTCATCCACACGCTTGTGGCCACTACAAGACGTTCACATCAGATGGCCATCCAATGAACAAAACGGCAGGCATCTCCACGTATCGATGATGCAGCTGATCTATGGCCGGTGCTTTCTAAGCCATGGCAGACCGAGGATGACACCAAATTTGTCATCCAAATCTAATACGACGAAGCCGCTGTCATCGTACTGCTCTTCCTTCTAGCGTAGAGGGACTTACTACACGTTTGTTCACTGTTACTACCGCGCCTGTAGCAAAAGGGCATACCGTCATTCTCGAGGGACTTCCTCGCCCGAACATAGTTGAGCCTCATTCTTCTAGTGACTGGCGCCCGGCGTAACTGCCTGACGCCCTACAATCAACTAGATGCGAAGTGACATTCCACTCTGTCACTTCGATCTTCAAAGTGATGAGAGACTCCTCATCACTAATGGCAGTAGCACACAGAGACTGCGTGTTTGATGCACCTTCGTCAAGATTCCTGCAAAATCTCTGACGTTGCTGGATCAGCAGGATGTGTTCGCCCTCTTACTGGCCCTGATCGCTTCGGCGGTCCGATTTTTGGGCTGTCGCGCCTTGACCTTTTCGACCACTGGTGGTCATCACGTCCTGCTCCTTGACGTGATGGTGTGCTTACGACACTACACTCATGAGCGTAGTGTCCAATCGTCTGACAGAAGAGCGACATCTTTGCTGTTCGCTTGTGAGTCAGAGAGCGAGATTTCTCAATCTCCGATGTAACAGAGGTCCATTGGTTCGGGACTCCGGTGTCCTGTCGTCTCGTTTTTGACGAGATAGTTTGACGAGTTAGCCTTGAGACTGTCTCAGGCTGATGTCTTCGTTCCGCGTACGATATCGCCTTTTTCCAGGTATGGAAGTCCTCTCGAACAACAAGTCTTCACCGGTCCACCTTCAAGACCGTAGATGAACACGTTGATGAGCGTGTGCTTATCAACAGGGTTTCTTTGTCGCTACTCGCAGCAGTAGCGTATGATGTGCACAGCGCAGCACATCACGCTTACCTTGCGTAAGCCTCAAGAGTGCAGAGCGTGCTCTGAACTCGGCTCCCGGCGGCTCAAACGTCTCTTTGCCGAAACTTCAAGATCTCTAACGACTCAAACGCGTTTGGGTCGTGACGCTTGAGCCCTAATGACCAAGTCTTTCTCTTCCTATTGGGAAGTTACGGTGGATAGCGGTGATCGGCATCTCGTCACTCCTCGATATGACGGACCCTGGATGGCGTCGTCTAACTCGACGAACCATCTCAAGAGGGAATCTTCATCGGTTCCCTTGTACCTTGGAGATATCTATCTTTGTGCTGTTTCCTGGGTCAACGCGTGCGTCGGCTCGCCCATCGACCGATGAGAGTCTTGCTGCTGGGCAAGGCTATCTTCTGTCGTTCGACGGCAAGTTCCCGTGTAGGAACTTGTTGACAGCAGCATGTTGTTGGTCTCTGCTTAGAGACTCAACATACCACTGATGGTGGCCCGCTCATGAGCACACCATGCGGCCGACTATCTCCCATTCTGAGTCACTGATGAGCAGCCACGTGCAGATTTGAAAGCTGTTTCCACTTCTACGTCCAACATGTTCACGTTGGACGGACACTAAGTAGTCGTTGGATGGACTACCGGGCGCGTAATAGGTGGTAACGGGGCACCCTTAGCTTGGGCGCTACGAAACTTCACGCAATAATAACTAGTATGTGCAGAGAAGCTAATCTACTCAAACAGCTAGTTTGAGTAAAAGGTAAAAAGAGAACTGTATTTAATATAGTCAAGCTACCAATATAACTTCAGTCTTTATCTAACTATTTTTAATCTACATTGTCGTATGACGACAACTGCTCACCACTCATTGCGCGCATCTAGCAGCGATTGGTGGTTATCTTGGTTAAATGTCTTTATCAACCAATCTTTGAGCAGCGCATAAATATCATCCTACAAAGGGAACAATACTCTTCAATATTACCAATCTCGGATAATATTGGTAGAATATTGTCATGCTAAACATCTTCCCTATTGACACCGTTTGCAAGTCAAAATGAGTAACGGGCAGCCCTGTTACACAATAGACTTACTCAAGGTTCAAAATGTTTAAAAGGCCAAGCTCTTGTTCAGTAGCTCAGCATTCAACTCTACAATAAGTACCGTGCCAATAATGAATTATTTGTGTTTTATCACGAAGTGGTCTCATTGCATTTATGTAACAATGCATCAAGCGTGGGCACTCATTACCAACATGCGGGTAACACCGCACACTAGTTTATGTAACGGGCACTCCCTGAAGCTTGTACTGGTGACAGTACAAGCTACTTATTCTGATAACAGAATAAGGCGGTGCCTCGTAACCTCACGTACACTCGTACGTGCAGAGGAAGACGGTAAGAAGAAGCGAGTACTCTCGGTTAGAGTAAAAGTAGAACTGTATTTATAATAGTTAATGTCTGCAATAAATCACTATTTATCTTCATCTAACTATGTCTAAATACAAAGTGTAAATCAGTTATCTGCTCACCACTCATTGCGTGCGTCTGTCGTGGCGTACTCTCTTCGTTGGTTGATATAATGGCCTATATCAACCAATTAGGAACTACTTGAAGTGCTACAGAATATTGTCCTTATGACAATATTCTGAGAATATAACTCTTATAGTTATATTCTATTAACAATTTCTTATAAATTGTTATGTAACGATTCACCCTCGTTACATCACCCCCCTCCCCTAACCATCAGTCACTTTAGTGACTGATTGACTAAATGGATACTCGTCCCAAATCATTTGGGACGGGGTTTGCACTTGTTGGTCCGCGTCCACTTTCCAACATCTCATCGCATGGTAAACAAGCCCATGCGATGGGAGGGCGCAGCAAGAGCCGCCGAGAGTCGCGTCTGCACGTCCCTGTGCGGACGCCGAAGCAGAAACTACAGCAACTGATGTCCCATCGGTTGCTGAATCGACTCAGCCTGTATCACCTGGTGATGCAGGCGCTGGTCATGAAGACACTCGTTTTTTTCACAGAGTACGAGCTCGGTGTCTCGTACTCTCCTGATACGGATGACGGATCCGTATCGACGGCAATTGAATCCAAGCCGCCTGCCAAGCGTGGCATGGACGATGCTTTGCGTCGCAGCATCTTTGGTTCATCTGATGAGTCAGATGAACCATCGCCGAAGCGAAGGCGCTCGAGGTCGCGAGACTCGGGCGCCAATAGTGGTGTCGTTTCTCCAATGGACACCACTTCACAGCGAGGTGCCAGTACTTCTGTCGGCACGTCGCAGGAAGAGCGGGACCGCAATGTGTTGCGTCTCGCTCCAGAAAAGAAGGCATGGATGCCTCCTAAAATCCGTCATGGATCACTTGTCGGCGACGACGAGTGATCGTTATCGAACACGATTGTTCGATTCGTCAAGGATTCATCACTTGACCCCAGC